CATAAAATAAGCTTCATTGAAATTTTAGACATTATTTATTTCCCACTAATCAAAATAAAAAAGTGATAGAGCCAGTAATGTGTGTCTACTTCTGTAAGGAGCAAACACAGAATTGTACCTTCTGATGTTGCACTTTCACCTCATTGGATGATTAAATCAACTTTCTCATTGCATTTCCATAATTTTTCTCATTGCATTTCCATAATTTTCTTTCCTCCAAATCATCCTTCCTCCATCATTGTGATTTATCATCTTGGTCCACAATTCCTCCAATTTTAATCCTACTCTACCTATTCTTTTATTATAGTGTCCTTAATCCAACCAAATTATACCATATTATATATGGTTCTAGCCAAATGGCCTCCACCCAGCACCACAGCTCATCCTGTCTCCTTTCCTTCTTCCTCTCTTGTCCTATAATGTAGAGCTTCATTCCTCCAACATCTACACATCCCAATCATCTACTGGCCAAGATTTGGAGTAGTCATCCTTGTGAATTTCAAAATCAGAAGTCCTAAATAGACAAATTTCCTCCTTTCAAAGCCCTCCTTGAGGATGAAGGGGCCTTTCTCTTGACCTTATCTAATACAAAATCCTAACATTTATAAGGTCCACATTTTCAGCCAAAGCAAACACTTTCTAAATATGTACCAATGGCCAAAAGTCATTCTGAACATGTTGCTATTGACAATCTAAGATTGTCACTTTCGGTTGCAATGAACTGCATTTCTGTGTGTCTGATAATCCACAATATATGAACATTTACCAAATTCTGGATGTTCATAGTTTAGTCCTTAATATAAAAATTTGCTTTAATTCCTCTGGATACTTTAAAATGGAACATTTTGTGTATTCAAAGAGTATACTTTAAGCCTGTATTCAGAGACATAATATTGAACTAAACACAGAAAAGTTTTCTATGCAAGACTTCCCTAATATGTGTTCATTCAGTACCTCTAATAATTGAAACAAGATAAACCACATTCATGTAAGGCCCAGTGCAGAATATAAGAACCAAAACTTATTTAGAGAGCAAGGTAGGAAGGAGTAATTCACACTAGTCAAACAGAGTTTAGCAATAACATGCATGATTTTCTGCTTACATGTTCTTCCCTGTTCTGTACTTGGATCCCCTTCTCCATCAGCATACAAAGCAATGACATTTACTGAATATGGAGTATCAGGAGCCAGACGTTCCAATAAAACATTGCGTGTGTTGCTTGGTACAATAACCTAGAAAGAAAGCAATACTGAAATGTTGTCTGTAACTGATGGTGAGCTGTTGAATATCCTTCACCAGCCCAATAGACTGCTTAAGGAGTGAGTCTTCAGGGATGTAAACTGAGAAACTACCGTGTTTCTCCGAAAATAAGACAGGGTGTTATTTTCTTTTTACACACAAAATATGGCTTGGGCCTTATTATGAGGGGAAGTTTNTCAGCCAAATGTTAGTCTGTAGTGTATTTCTTGACTTCTTTGTTCTTTGATGGTTGATCCTAAAAGTTTGAAGTTTGAAGTTTTATTTTATTTATATGCCTCCCTATTCCCTAAAAGGGACTCAGGGTGGCGAACAACTCCAACGGGAAGGGAAACATAGAAATACAAAATAAACATTTAAAATAACCAACAACCACACCTGTCGAGAGGGGAAGGGAGCTCATCAACCCCAGGCCTGCCGGGGGGAAAACTACTGTATTTTTTGGCATATAAGATGCATATTTCCCCCCCTGCAAAAAGAGCATGGAAATGTTGGTGCATCTTATACACCAAATACAGCCATTTTTGGCTTCCTGAAGCCCCGCCCCCGCATCCCATTTTTGCCAAAAATGGGGCATTTTTTGCAAAAATTGAGGCTTTTTTTTTTGCCTTCCCTCAGCTCTCAGCAGCCCACTGCAGGCTTCAGCAGGGCTGGGGCAAGGCAAAAATGCCCCACGTTTTTCACAAAATGGAGGTTTTTTTTGCCTTGCTTCAGCCCCGAGCAGCACTCTGCAGGCTTCAGCAGCAATGGTGGGTTGGTGCCAGTCCTGACTGATAGGGTCGTACTGGTAGTGGCCTGGAGCAGCTGAGAGCGTACCAGTACAGTGGCTCATTTGGCCCACCCACCTGCCCGCGCTCTATAGCTGTATTTATGCCAAAAGGCACACTGCGCACCCGCACACAGCGTGTGGAGCCTGCGTGTGCCCCAAAAAGCAGCTGGGTATCGCAGGGGTGGTGGATTGCGCATGTGCCACGACGCACATCAGTCTTGTGCATGGACAGACCATGATCAACGTACTGGTAGCGATGGTAAGAGGAACCCACCATTGTTCAGCAGGGCTGAGGCAAGGCAAAAACAGGGCTGTTTTCGCCTTGACGAAGCCCTGCTGAAGCCTGCAGAATGCTGCTGGGGACTGAGGGAAGGCAAAAAAAAATTTTCCTTCCTTACCTCTTCAAAATCTTGGTGCATCTTATACACCGGTGTGTCTTATAGTCTGAAAAATACGATTATCTACCCTGTTTTCCCCC